TATGGCTTTCAGTTTATACATTTTATCAGCTCATGCATTTCCTCAAACCCATGACCTTGGCGTTGCTAGCGCCATGCTTTACTGTTTGAGCTAAAGGAATGCATACAATTATGTCTGTCTTACTACAGATTGTGCATTATTTACTAAAACTCACTGTGTGTCTGGTTTGTACTAAACTGAATTTCATTTAAGAGGTATTTGTGTACATTTATGTTGATCATGGCACCGTTTATTTATCAAATGATGATCAAATAATGCGGAGAGCACTATAACAAAGCTATTTTAGACTTTTGGATTGTAGAGGTGAAGCGTGCTAATGAACAACACTACAGCAGATGCAATTCATTCTCAGTAAAATCCCCTCACAGAGTTCTGACTATATCAAGCTTTGCTTTTCTCCCAGTTGCCTTTCCTCTCACCTCTCCTCGTCTTCTCAGTTACAGTATATAGGGCGGCCAGCCTCTGTTGCTATGCCTTTATCCTAACCTACTTCTCCCAGCCCTGAAATAGCACCGGGGTTTGCTCAGGTCTATCATCTCTCTTTTGGGGATTGCAAAATGAGGTCTGTCCTATCACTCAATGATCCTCGTTTTCGTTCTCTCTCCCCAGACGACTAGACAGTCCTCTGGGTCTATGCTGTGACGTGTGTGTTTACAAAAATAAGAACAGGGTGTTGTATGCATTAATGCAGTATTCCCACCTTAATGAGCTTTTGAGTCTGGATTCTAAGAAAAAATGTTTGCCATTGTTTAAGCTTCTGACAGTTGAATAGGGAATGTTTGCGTTTTAGGATTTGACCGTACTGGAATTTCAGCCGGTGAACCACTTCCTGTTTAAGTGAATGGATGGTTTTTACATGCAGACGGTTTCTCACACACAAAATATATAGCTGATATAACATCAGTTCACCTTAAGAGTAGCTTAGTATATCAAAACTCAAACCTCTTGGCATTTCTTGGCATGGACAAGCTCATAGTCTTTAAGAAACACTCAACCCAAACAAGCACTTGAACTTACAGCCTGACTTCCTCTTATCAGGTCAGACAAATATGGGTCCAAACAATGTATGTCTAAGATAGCATCATGCCGTCTTGTGTAAATCAAATGCAGGAGGGCTGCTCCTTCAGCTTCCAGGATCCATTAAACAGCTTCACTCGAATGAACTCCCCTGAGATTTGAAATAGCACTAGACGCATTAACAGAACTGATTTGCTCATCCTGACCCTCTGAGCTTTTTCAAACATGCTATTGGTCAGTCCACTGGTCAATGTCCAATGGGTCTCCTGGGGACGGCACTATAGGGAAAGCGTTATATCAAAAAGCATAATTCAAATACACTGCAACTTATATTAGCATATCGCCATTTCACTGCACCAATCAGCTGATAAGATGGGCACCCACATGAACGGGTCAATGTTTCATTAGCATTTAGGATAATGAAACTAGTGTGCTAGAAAACAAAAGGCGCTCTTTCTCACACCATGGTCTGTTTGCATTGCAGCTTAACTGTGTGATTTGTAAGCAAATGTTTATTTGAATCTAAATTAGCGGGTTTGATTTACTTTATTACTAATCCATGATTTCATTAATATTGTATGGAATGAGCATTAGGCTTTTTGCACAAATTATTTGTTAAGCTAGGGTTAAATAACAAAAAATGACATCATAAAGTATCTTCATGTTTATATTAACTGTATATGTTTTCTCCCATGAAGGTTTTGTCAACCCCAATCCAAATATGCAAACATAAAACGTCTTCCATAAGTGCATTTATCTGTTATCAGGTAAAACAAGTTTATTTTAGATTATCAGATTCATTTATTTAGAAAACTGATTGTATCTCAGTCAACCTTATGTAGAGTTATGCTGTAATTTTACACTCTGTTCAATGGCTGTTGGTTCTTTTAGTCACTCAGTGTCGTGATGTGTTTTGTATGCAATAGATCAGTCACAACAGGAAGGGCAGCATTCTTTCACCTTCAGTATCTGTTGCGGTTTCTTCATTTTGGTAAAGCAACTCTAAAATAGGCTGCGTGTAAGTGCAAAGCAGGTGACTGTATCAGCCAAACCTGAAAGATCTTTTCCTTGTAAGAATCAGATCAAGTTTTTGCTAATCAAGATAACTGCATATTTCTTCATTATTGCAGAGTTCCTTTTTACCACCCTGATCAGGCTGACTTGACCAATCGCCAGCTGACATTTTCCTCCTCTGTGTGTGTGCCCGTGCCATGTTACTATGGCAACACCTCAGGGCTGGTGGCATCGAGGCAGACACTAGAAGGTCGATGATTCTGCTGTTGCCATTTGGGGCATTTGCATCACCTTGTGTGGCATTGCCCACATTGCCTACCGTTTTACAGTATGATGCAACATGTAGTCAGAGTGTCTGCACCTCAAATGCTTCATGACAGCTCTCTCTGAAAAGTTTCAAGGTGTTGCCATGTTTTCCTTAAACACTGTATCTTTATCAGAGAGCCAGAAGAGAAGATAGAGAGGGAATTTAGGGCAAATCACATTTGGACAGCATCGCCTGCCAAACACTGAACATAATTCACTAATATGATAGTTGCTCTCATGGTCTGGTGCTGTGCTGTGCACACACTGACCTACTAGTACCAGTCTCTTCCAGTTAAAAGTCCTTACTTTATCATGTTAAATAAGGACATACTAAATCAGATTGTTACATGGTTTGCATCAGTTTTGCCTGTGGGAGTTTTGGTGGGAAGCGCTTGGTGGTTGAGGTTGTGTCTTTGGCAGGCGTGAGGGTGGGCAGGTGCAGTCTCGGTTGAAGGAGGAGAAACGCAGCACCATCTGGCACAGGGACCCCCCTCCCAGTGGGAGGAGTGTGAGAGATGGAGGGATTGAGGGATGGGGGGCAACGGAGGAGTGTGACCAAGCTAATTAGTACACTGCCTCAGATTAGACTGATGGAAAAAGGGCGGGACCACCCGTTCCTGAGCATAGAGGAGGATTGTGGAAAGCCAACGCCTCGTATCTGTCCCATATCCAAATCAATATGTTTCGCTAGGAACTGAAATGAATGAAATCAAGTACTTCAAGCATATATATATATACACCTTGCTACGTGTACTGCGTTAGGCTAACCGAGACTTGTCATTTGCACTTATATATTGTTGCTCTTTTGTTAGTTTTGCCTGCTTTTATTGTCCTCATTTGTAAGTCGCTTTGGATAAAAGCGTCTGCTAAATGACTAAATAAATAAAATAAAAAACTGTGAGTGTTACATGATAGCAAAGGTGATCTAAATGTCTTTTAATCAGTTCATTAGTAATCATTTTTAGAAGATGTAGCCTGGTGCCTACATATCTTCTGTGTCATCTGACCATATCAAGTTGCTATATGGTTTGTTGTGTGTGTTTTGGCCGGGAGTCTAAAGAGCTCTTGATCAGGGCATTACTCCCGTTTTAATGTAATTGCAGCTTTCGTGTTGCTGCCTTTAAATCTTCAGTCTCTCATCTCCACATTCCTTCTTTCTGATCACTTTAAAGTGAGAAATTAAGCCTCTGGTGCTCTTTAACTGTCCAACTCTTCTCAGACATACGCTTTGATCTTCCATTTGTGCAAAGCACACAGCATTCAGACACTTCTAAATGCAGGAGAGGCTGTAAACAGAGTCTGTGACTGACAGCCAATGAAATTAGACAAGAGCAATAGAGATCCAACATGCTTGATGTTATCTCTGATGTTACATCTCTCTAAATCACTGAACAGTCCTGTACGAATAGAGGAAGAGAGAAAGACATCCGCTTCACAGGCTTCACGCACCCAGATCAAACACCTAATGCCGCCGAACCGTCTCTTAATTAACTTTTCAGTGCTGCCTGGCTAATTACGTCATGCTTTTTAATGTCTTGTACAAACACAGACATATAACACAGGAGTGGCTGTGAGAAATAAAAATAGCAATTTGTTTCTGTTGCTGCAGTGGCTTTAGTCATCTTCGAGTTTCGCCTCGATCAGTTCGCGGTTTCCCATCGCACCCGTTTTGACTTGTCACTGGCACGTTGTAGCAAAGACGTACTGAGAAGAGGCACTTTGGCAGGTGCAGGCTTGTCCGCACATAGTGACAAATGCAACATTCCTGTCACACGAGTCACGCCACCTGCTCGCATTCCAGTGCAGTCAGTGTCTTTCCTTACTGTCTGCAACTCAAGGTACATTCAAAGTGCGTTTCTTTCTCTTTTCTTTTTTATTCTGAGGACATACAAATGCCTTTGTTACGCTTCAGCACACTTTGTATTTTATATTTGAGCATATTTTGAGCGATTTTATTATTGTTTTATGGAAACATTGAAATATGTTCATGCTTTTCAATTCATTTTTTATATTTTAATTATATGAATTAATTACTTTTTAATGATTAATTAATGAATAATTTGTTTTTAAAATGTTTAAATATAACATACTTTTAAATATAATCTTTATCAAATCTCAAAATGAATATTCATTTTTGCATACTGCACATTGTAATGTACAGATTCCTAAATTTACTTGTTGCATTTAAAAAAAAAAAAAAGATTATAAAGTTATTTTATTTTTCATTTATTCAAAATTGTGAAGAAATTAACCAGGAAAAAAGAGCAACTTATCATTATGGCCAGAATTTTAATATCTGTTTTGGTGATAACATGCACCAGTAAATCGTGCGCAATAAGAACATTTATTAAGAAAGTCAATTAAAAACATGCTGACTTCAAACTCAAACAGACCAGTGTAGAAGTGTGTGTGTGTTCATCCATAGGATCCCACATAAGCCTGTAATTGTTCTGTTATTGAGGATCACAAGGAAGTGTAATGAGAAACACCTGTCAATATTTTTAATTCTTTAAAATGCTTAGCACAGAAGATGTCTGAAAGTTCATTCGCTAATCATTTCTTCGAAAAGAAACTCAAATAGTCTTAACTCTAATTGTTGCGCTTAAAGGCTAAAATTTACACCAGAGCACAAATTCTAATGTCTCTCTGTCTCTGTTTCCCAGGTGTCCTCCTTGACATACAGAAACACTTCGACGTTGGTGACAGCGGAGCAGGCTTGTTGCAAACAGGTAAGTCTCTCATAATCCCATAATTACGTGGTTTTGCAATCATGCAGTGTGCACACACAGACTTTCTGATTTATATCACTGACTTGAGGTGGAAGAGAATACTAAAATCCATTAAGCTCCCTGCAGCCGAAGTGACAGGGTTAACAAAGGAGGAAAAAACTGTGAATGAGGTGCTCCAGCTCCACCTCCCTCCTCCCCAAAGCCAGTGTAATTTACTGTGCTTGAAGCACTTGTTAGGGTTTAACAAAACAGAAGACTGCCACAGTTGTGTGGATTGGATGGAGACCCACCCTGCACTGTGATCTGTCCATTATTCAACAGTGCAAGGACATTACATACATTTTCCATATTTCTATTAAAGAAAAAGACCACGTAAAACTCCAGTGAGGTACATGGGAAGCTGTAAATGTTTTTCCTTTTCAGTCTGGTTGTTACAGGAAACTGTAATTGTGAGTCCACTCTCCGGTTCCTTTTAATGGGAGGAAAAGACTAGTTTATTCTGGAAAACACACAGAGCTCTTGTTAGCTTAGAGATGCTTGTGGTCTGTCGCTAAGGTTTATAACGGCTAAAATTAAAAAATGACTAATAATTGTTCCCTCATTATATGCAGATGACAGTGAAGTGTAACACATTATGACATCATTAAAGGTTATTTGTGGGGGGCTAGGAATCAGTGGATGTATACGGAGGGAGGTGAATGAGAGGGTTCAGTGTTCAAACGGCTGGTTTGCGCTGGGTCAGGTGGGGGTTTTGGAGGCCGTTGGGTTGGGCTTCCTGAACCGGGCTGGGTCCAAATCAAGTGGCTTTTGTGAAGGAGAGTCACTGTGTGGAGGTCCTATTGGAGCAGCCCTATGAACACTAGCACATACAAACTGTACTTGTGTATGCAAACAGAGACGCCGCCATACACGGAGGCAAGAATATATACAACAAGCACACATAGGCTCATTGAGCGGTTGCATAGACAGGGATGTCTGGGATTCAGATCCAGCTCAATGTTTATCTATTGCCCCCATTCATTTGGTTTGAAAATATTAGAATAACTGGCCCATGGAAACCTCGGCACATAAACCTTTCAGTATTTAAGAGTGGGATATTTTAATTCTGGGTGAAAAGGGTGAAGTAAATATAAAAATCTACACCTCCTAAAACAGGATAAATCTAATTGGAAAGAAACAATTTTGTGAGGTTCATGCTTAAGATGCTAATTTGCAAATAGGGTGGAGCAAATAAATATCATTTTATTTATATGTATATACTGTATATACTACCATTCAAAAGTTTGGATTTTTTGAAGTGAGACATCAAGCTTAATTCAGCTCAATTATATTATATAACTGACTGTAGAGATGAGTGAGATATACAAAGGAAAACGTTCATTCTGTCAGACCGTAAGAAAGAGTTCTTCTCTGTTTTTGCTTAGCTGACCAATTTAGACTGCAGAAATCGTACTGTCACTCACTGAAGAAAATGTGTTTTTGATTAGTCTGTAATTGGAAGCAAATAAACATTGCAATTCTGCTTGGCTCAGGTTAACCATAAAGTGAATGACTGCTTGGAAACTTTCTATAGGTTGATTCTCAGCAGGGAATTGGTGCTTTGACAGCATGGCAGCCAATTATTGGTCTATATGCTACATGAGGGATGGCACCTCTCATGCTGTGAAACTGTCATGATAGTCACTCTAAATAGGGGTTAAATTGGGACTTTTGAGGTGAGAAGCCTCAAAATCTGGCAAGATATGGCCCTACCAAAACAAACAAATAAATGTACAATAGGGCTTTTAGTTTTTTTTTCTTCTAAATCTGGACTGGAGCAGGGAAGAGATGGAATGGAGTGAAGAACAATTTTTTCCCAGCACATGGGTTGCCATCAAGACATTACTGGTAGAGATTTCTTATTCTCTTTTAGCAGGCTTTTTTGTTATAGACATAAAAATATGATAGTCTTTGCGCTAAAAAAATCGAGCTTTAACAAAATATCAAAGCAAACCACATCCTGAACCACATCCTATGCCACCTAGAAAAAATGTGAGCAGGGAAAAATCCCTTTGTTAAGCAGTGCATGGGGTCTGTGCTTACAGAGTGTAGAGAAAGTGTCTGCGGCAGGTTTAGTTTGGCCTCTGATCCCAGTCTGACCTCAGTCTTCACACAACACAACGAAATTTCAGATGCTCTGGCCATTGGCTGAGAACCTCAGTGTGAAAAGTTGGTTGAAGGGATGGCGTGCGATCAACTGGAGTGTGTCCTGAGGGATGGCACCTCTCATGCTGTGAAACTGTCATGATAGTCACTCTAAATAGGGGTTAAATTGGGACTTTTGAGGTGAGAAGCCTCAAAATCTGGCAAGATATGGCCCTACCAAAACAAACAAATAAATGTACAATAGGGCTTTTAGTTTTTTTTTCTTCTAAATCTGGACTGGAGCAGGGAAGAGATGGAATGGAGTGAAGAACAATTTTTTCCCAGCACATGGGTTGCCATCAAGACATTACTGGTAGAGATTTCTTATTCTCTTTTAGCAGGCTTTTTTGTTATAGACATAAAAATATGATAGTCTTTGCGCTAAAAAAATCGAGCTTTAACAAAATATCAAAGCAAACCACATCCTGAACCACATCCTATGCCACCTAGAAAAAATGTGAGCAGTGAAAAATCCCTTTGTTAAGCAGTGCATGGGGTCTGTGCTTACAGAGTGTAGAGAAAGTGTCTGCGGCAGGTTTAGTTTGGCCTCTGATCCCAGTCTGACCTCAGTCTTCACACAACGCAACGAAATTTCAGATGCTCTGGCCATTGGCTGAGAACCTCAGTGTGAAAAGTTGGTTGAAGGGATGGTGTGCGATCAACTGGAGTGTGTCCTATTGTGACGTACTCTGATTTGTGTGAGTGGCACACAAGTTTTTTTGTTTGTTTTTAGACACACATCTGTTAATTTGACAGAGCTAGCTTTTCCCAAATCTACAGACTGTGGCAGGATGTCTTAAAGTGCACATGGCACGGAGAGATGTTGAGATTAATGTCTTAAGGAATGTCTTGAGGAATAGCTGACTAAGGCAGTCTACCATAAAACAGGAGGTGAAATATAGTGACAGGTTGGGAGGAGGAAGCTTTTCATAATATAATTAAACTCATAGGCCTTTCTTTGCGAGTCGATCTGTCATGATAGTGTGTCATTGTCATAACAAAAGGAAGTAAACATACAGTAAATTAGTGAATGATGGGCTGTGGGAAAACTGGAGTATCTAGTACCACAGAGATGAGTTCATACCGCAACCTCAACACAGTGTGATTCAGGCCTAATGCATCATTGATTTAATGCGGTGAGTACCAAAACACTCATATTAACAAATCAAGGAGATGAAAGTATTCATATCATAGAAAAATATTTCACATATGTAAAATATTGGTTATATGATACATGTCTGGTTTGTGTCCTTCAAGTGATGCCCAGTGTCATATTTCCTGACAAATGCGTGTCTATACTCGATATTGACACACAGACTGCTCTCGTGTAACCTTATGAGGGCAATATTGACTTTATCTGGCTTTACACGATGTGCTTTTGCCTGTGGCTGTCATACCTGTCAATCACCTCCTTGTCCACAAAGACAAGGCTTCTAGATCTGATCCCACTCCCAATGCTCTCTCATGCTTTATTTCTTTTAACCAAACCTCTATCAGACTAAGAGATATTAATTTCAGATTAGTGGGAAAGAGCAATTATTGTTGACACGGAAGAAGAATTGACTGTTTGCTAGCCACAACACCTTCAGGCAGTTCTGGACGTCTGCGAGATAGAAAATGGAAATAATGAAGATGGAATGAGGAAAGAAGAGAGGGTTAACTCGGATGTTATTACTGTCCCGAGGGCCTCCTCCTTGCTCTTTTGTTTAGTAGGTGACATCGGCATTTTAAGGATGGGTGTGGGGAATCTGGATGGCCTCTCTGCGAATATTTGCTGAAGATGGATAGATGAGGATGAACTTTAGACAGCCGAATGCTAAAATTTCCTGTGGTCTAAGCATCAGTTTACTAGGTGGTCTTGAGTCATATGCAACCTAAAACCGAGACTGATTTTTAATCCTAAAAAGGTTTGTGATTGTTTTGACAGAAATAATTAGTAACTAAATATTTTTTTTGATTTACACATCAAAAAAATGTGTAAATGTGTAAAAAATGTGTGTGTGTGTGTGTGTGTGTGAAGATACCTTGTGTGAGCAAAGTCAGTAGGTTTTAGTCCAATGCGATCACATTAACTAGCATTTTAGGCAAAAAGAAAATCTTTGAGCATTAAGCAATTATTATTTGAAATTTAGTGGAAATGATCAAAATGAATAATTAAATCAGCTTATGTTTGGGGTTGGTACCTGTAAGGTTGGACTGTTTCTGCTGTCTGGCGCTTTGCGGAGAAGGGTGCAGAGGAGATGGGGGCGTCGCACTGGGCGGCAGAGGGGGAGCAGGAGACGATGGGGTGGAGGAGGTGGTGGAGGATGCAAATGTGCTGTTTATAAAAAATTAAATACTATAGATAATTGTCAGGTTTGCTGTGCTTGTTTGTAGGGTGCACAATATTTTGTGATTACATATCAATATAACTGTAAAATACTACTACTACTATTACTAATACTAATTAAATAAATGATGTAAGGAATAATTGACGACGGGCCCTTGAATTATTAGAAAAATAATGCACACCCGAGGTGGTGATGCTATTGTGAGTAGGATTATTTCTATGGAGGCTCATCCAACGCCTTCTCTAAACAGTGCTGTTATTACCTCGCTAGTGAGAAATGTCATGTGTAGCCTTTAAGTTGCTACACTATATAGGCTAACTGATAAAATCGTCAGGGCAGCGCTGACAACACCTTTTTGTGCAAACTGCGTGACCATAGTGTGCATGTGCGAGAACGTGTGATTGCAGTAATTCCTGTGTGCTGTATAGGTACTGTATGCTAATTTCCGTTATTACAGTTAACTATGCGAAGTGATATGGAACTGTAATGCGGTCAAGAGAACTGCCTGG